TGAAAAATTAAACAAATAGGGAAAAGGAAAAAATCCCCATTTCTGCCCCCGCCAAACAGCATGGCAGGAAACACAACAACATAAACAATAGCGATAGAAAGGACAAGTTAGGACTGTTTACCCTTCTCCTGCCTAATGCAGGATTGCTTCCAATGGAATAATGTACTGGGTTTTTTTAGCTGAGTTTTAAGTGACCCAAGATAGAGATGCCCCTTCTTTCTGTAGGAGAGAGAGCTTTCTGCAAGCATTACCAAAATGCAGCTGCTTCTGGGGTCAGAAATAAGAGGTCAGCATTGATTAAATTGATAACAGCCACACTATAGTGCACATTAGAGACAAGAAACAAAGATCACCTCAGTCAATGAAATCACTGGGCAAAATATGGCCATCGGGCTGTGTCTAGACTGGCAAGTGTTTCCTGCGGAAACACTTGCCAGCTGTTTACACTGGCCGCTTGAATTTGCACAAGAACACTGACTCGGGAAAAAGCCCTCTTGCACAAATGCTTTTGCGCAAGAGGGCCAGTATAGACAGCTAAAAACTCTTTTGCGCAAAAAAGCCCCAATGGCGAAAATGGCGATCGGGGCTTTCTTGCGCAAAACCGCATCTAGATTGGCACTGACGCTTTTCCGCAAAAACTGCTTTAGCGTAAAGCGTCCGTGCCAATCTAGATGCTCTTTTCCGCAAATGCTTTTAACGGAAAAACTCTTTCAGTAAAGTTTTAGAGCAGACTGGAACTGACATTCAGGAGGCCCTGATTTCTAATTCTGCTTCTGACACCGACTGAGTCACTTCTGGAAATTCTAGCAAGTCAGTTGAGCTCTCAGCTTCAGCATCCTCTTCTGTAAAATAAAGATAATCTGCCTACCTCATAGTTGTGTAAGGAGTAATTAATGTTTGTAAAGCATTTTGCACATGTAAATGCTCTATACATTTTGGCTGTGTCTACATTGGCCCCTATTCCGTAATAGGGATGCTAATGTAGCACTTGGGAATAGGCAAATCCGCGGGGGATTTAAATATCCCCCGCGGGATTTGCATTTTCATGGCTGCCGCTTTTTTTCCTGCTTGTAGATAAGCCGGAGAAAAGCGCCAGTCTGGACGCGATCCTCCGGAAAATAAGCTCTTTTCCGGAGGATCTCTTATTCCCACTTGAAAGGTATATCAAACCTCAAAATGCTACATACATTATCCAGCTTCTAATGCGTCTTGATAACAGCTAAATGAAAAAGTGAGGGGAGAGGAACCGGAGAGTTATAACATTTTTGTTCCCTCTTTGGTATATTTTAAATCAATATTTGAAATTTCAAAATTTTGTGAAAATTCCAAAATTGGGGGGAGGGGAGGATTATCAATAATATGGGTGGCAAGAAAAAAAGGAAGAACCCGGCCTCACCCTAATATTTTTGTTATTTCCCTTTTCTTTTTTTCTTTCCCCACACTCTTTAAAAAAAAAAAAGCTTTGAAAAATAGCGCATGCATTCCACTCCTCCCATTTACAAGCAGGAGTAAATATAGAGTCTATAGACTACTCTTAGCACACACTACATTTTTATTCCCCATGTTTTCCAGAGTTTAGCTGGTTGTCAAGACTACTAATTACACAAAAATTAGTGAATGAATGTCAGACACATTCAAAGAATGTTAGTAAATATCAGATTCTGTGAAGCATTATTAAGGCTAACTTTTCTGAGCGGGGCACACACAGTGTACCACATATAAATGGCTGAGAATTCTTTAGTCCTATTTTTACATTTGCTGGCCATTCCAACTATCAGTTAAGCAGTAATGATCTAGGATGGGGATTAATGGTGGACTGACTGGCATTTATGCCTAGAGGTATAGCCAAGGGGGCCATTAGTCCCAGTTGGTCATTAATCCCCAAGAATGCCCCATTCTGTGGTTGCTAGTGCTATTATAAGAGGAAAATGAAGGAAAACATAGGCATATGGATTTTTTTAATGGTTGATGCAATTCAATTCATATGTATAGAGGGTGCAACCAGGAATTAATGGCCTGCCCATTAACTAGCTGGATTGCTCAAATCAGCCACACATTCCACTGAGGAGGTTACAGCCATGAAAAATATCTTTAAACATTTTTCATATTAATCATAAAAAAGCCCTCTATGCCAAAACTGGTTTTCAAAATGAGAAACTTCAAACCAGGCTGTGTAGAAACTGGCCTCTAATTCACTACCTCAAACCCAACAAACACCAGGAAAGGAAGATATTATCTGGGATTAAGACCTGGGCTAGGAGAGGTAGGCTCAGCTTCTAGCTCTGCTACTGACTTTCTATGTGACCTTGGGAACTTCATGTAGTTACTCTGTGCCGCTTTTCCCCATCTGTAAAATGGGAATAGAAATACTCCCTTGCTCCCACCTTTTTGTCATTCTTGTAAAATGTTCAGAGCAAGGCATTAGACTTATTATGTATTTGTACAGTCATAAGACTCCAAACTTGGTTGGGAACCTATGTGCCACCATAAATCAGATAATGAAATGAGTGGAATGCATTTCTAACCTCAGACTCCATTTGAGAATTATTTTTACTTCAAGGAAGTGGGAGGTTTTGCTTTTTCTTTTCCATCTGTACAGTGCCCATTGTCATTTTTGCTGGCTATTCTAACACATATTTATTAATATATATTTTCCCGGAATTACTCAAGTTCTTAACTCAATAATTGTTGTTTATCTTCATTTAAATCATAGCTCTAGAGTGGGGCTGGGGGTGAGGGGCTCAGGATGCAGGCTGCCCCTGGGAGCCTGAAAGACTTCACGAAAGTGGAAGTGAATGGCAAGAATAAAGCTGAAATCCTGGTCTCAATGAAGTGAGTGGCAAAACTTCTACAATGTTATGGAGTCCGAGATGCAATTCAGACCAAAGGTTAAGGTTAAGGATGGAGCTAGTTGAAATATTTGAATGAAATTATAGACAAAAATGCTGCTTCACCAAAACTTAAACATTGCACCTGAGTTGGACCAAGTCAGAGCCCCAGACACTGGGCTATAGAGTAAGTGTCATTTATCTGCTCCCTTTCTCTTGCCTACTTCCTCTCCAGAAAGGTCTAATGTTCATTCTGAATTTGGATGAAAACACATTTTGAACCCTCAGAATGTTTCACGAGAACGAACTGTTATTTTCCAGACAGTTCCCATAAGGAGTGAGTTTTGAATGGAGGATTGGGGTGTCCGGATAGGAAAGGAGAGTAGAGTATTGTATAGAGCACTTGGGACATGAAGAGAAGACGTTTAAACATTATATAGTAGAAGACAGGAAGACAATGTGCAGATTGAAGAGCACTGGCTAGTTAAAACATTATTCTGGATGTCAGGGACCTTGATATAACAAAGTACTTAAGCATGTGCCTAAGTCCATCCTTTTTCAGCAAAGTACTTAAGTTCAACAGATTCTTTGCCCCACTGAAGTTAATGTAACTTACCATGCAGTACTAAGAAGAGAAAGACCTCAGTGCTTTGTAGAATCAGCACCAGAGGGAACCCCAAGTCTTTGGAATGTTGGTTCAGCTCAAGGTTAGTGCATGAATTTGTGCCCAAAACATATGCAACAATGCAACAATCATTACTTGAACATAAAGGAAAATCACAAGTATCTATCCATATCTTTGGAATCTGATATACCAAAGCTAGTCTGACCTGCAAAGAAATCATATTTCCATGCGCATGTCTGCTATAGATAGGTTTTGAATTTTAACCTTTTGTTTCTGTGTTTTATTCTTTTGAGATGAGGCCTTGATGAATCTGACAACTAAATAGCTTCTTCAACTGCCATCTGAAGATTAAATAAAGAGAACCAGATTGCCCCTGCCTCATTGTCACCTGACTACTAAGAATAAAGAAGCTGTATGTGTTGAAAGGCCCTTTATTTACCTGGCAAGCACTGTTTTGTATGTGGCAGGGAAAACAGAGTAGGAAATTGCTTGTGTCAGGTTTGCACTGGCCTTGATTTTTGACACGAAGTAGTGTAACATCAAACAGCAGAGCTAGAATCCTACTGGATAGTAAAAAGACTATCTTCAAAATAAATATTGTGGATTACTAGACTTGGAGCCATTAATTGTACAGTAATTCTGAACATGAAAACAGTTTATAGAGGGGCATATTTTTTACATAGGTTGCCCTCCTCAAAAGAGTAAGGGCATTCCCAGTCAATAATTTATTATATTTAGATTTCCATAAGTTACACACTCTTCAGTGCTGTCATACCTCATGGTAACTCAGGAATTTTTGTTGGGGAATAGCGGGCTCATGGATATTTGCCCCATGTCCACAGACATAGACTTACTGGATCATTTAAGATGATTGTCTAATGAGAAGTGCCACAATATCCTAATTGTGACACTGCACCCCATCTTCTTAATGGTGATATTATTATAACATGATGATAGCATAATTATGATTATTTTATGCAGGATAAATTGTGAAGAGTCATTGGAAAAATTATGAGTTTCTGATTATAATCATCCTATTTGTATGTGTAATTTCCATTTTC